TTCACTTCCAGGTTGTCCCACGAGGCGTTCTTCAGGTGGTGGCACTGAAGGAGGCGCAGCAGACGTTCCCTCTCGACCTCACGCACCACGCCGTTCTCTCTGATGGGGGGGGGGAGGTAGGGGCGTCAGGGAAATGAGGTGAGGTGAGGGGGGGATGAATGGGAGGGGGGGGAAGGGGGGTGAAGAGAGGTGAAGGACGGTGAAACGTATTTGAAACATATATGTAAGTTTAAGTGTCATTATCATATCCGGAAAAAAGTGTTTATCGTCGCTCACATTCACACATACACACACACGCACGTACGCACGCACACACATACACACACACACACACACACACACACACACACACACACACACGCACGCACACACACAAATAAACAGATACGTATATGCATGCAACACATATATATACTATTTATTTCCAATCTCCCTCACACACCCACAAATATATATACATAAATAAACCATCCATTTGACACTGCAGTTTTACCCCGATTGCATTACACATCAGAAACCAACATCACTATCCTCGACTCTCAATAAGTTAAAAAATCGCTCATGAAAAAAAACGGAAAATGTAAACCACAGCTAGTGTCGTATATTGTATCATATCAAGTTCAGATGAAGGTAAAACAGAAGGCAAACAGCTCACTAGAGTTGATATTACCTATTAGAGTTTTCACTACAAGACTTGAAGTATCCCAAAACCATGATAAATTTGCTAGATTTGTGATTTTTCCGAATTCAGATCTACAAATAACCGAGGCTCCCATAAGGGTTTCGATAAAACTGGTTTGTGCAGTTCAGTCCATGCACTTTACAAGGGACCTTTTGCTCACTCGCATGATCAACCTAAGTTCTGAATAAGTTGCCGGAGATCTCAATACAACAATTGAGAGATTGAGGCAATTTATCAAAGTTTTAAGTTTTTTGATTAATAAAGTATGAAAACTGAATATTTCTGATACGTGGCAAGGCTAATGTATATTTATTTTAGTATAGATCTATTGCATATCATTATATATTGTATATATATTGTATTTTGTATATCAATTGTACACTACATTATTGTATATCCATTGTATATTGATGTGTGATATATTATCTTATATTACATATTAATGGATATTTAGGACAATTTCGTCGCAAACAACTCCTAGAACAAACCGCAAAGTTCCCTTTCCAAGGAACTGCCTCCCGTTGTCCCAATCTGCACCTTTCACCCGTGGGACTTACTGCTGTAACAGCTGGTCCTGTAACGCCGCCACTCGCCTCGGGGTGACAGTGAACTCGGTGACAGGGAGGCGGTGAGTGTCGTCCAGTGTTTGGTTCTCCTCCAAAAGCTCCTCCAACTGTCACGAAAAAGAAAATACGGTTGTTAAGTGTCAAGGATCGTGGTGTTGGGTGGGGGAATGACCTTTGATGTCTTGTACGTTTATTTGTTTTAATTATGAACTATTATTGATCATGGTAATAGTGAGAATGATGATAATATTTGTGATATTACATCTACTAATGAAAGCAACATAACATCAATATCTATAATTATAACGATAACACTAGCAGTAAATAACATTAATGATACCGGTTAATGATAACAGCATTTCCTAATGACAAGAAGTTATTGCTGAAGGTAAGAGGAAAATCACTTTGTTATCCGAATCATAAAAAAGCGGTTAATATCACGAGCCAAAATCATTTCCGTTTTAACGAAGCTTCGAAACACTTAATTTCTTAACCCCGGATTCATTTGAGATAAGTGTTATTTTGAACTTGACGTTTTTGAGATCGGATTCGAAATACGGTTGGCCACCGTTGTATAATTAGAAAAATTATACAGTTTTGATTAAGACTCGACTGGAATAAGAACAGGTTTTGTTGAGACGAAGTTAGGATAGAGGTGTAACTGAGGTAAATGTAAAATTGAAAGTTAGATGAAACATGTTACAGGTGATGTCAGAACGAATGAATAGTCTTGAGACAAACTTAATGATATATGCAAATTATACTCTCTCTCTCTCTCTCTCTCTCTCTCTCTCTCTCTCTCTCTCTCTCTCTCTGTCTGTCTGTCTCTTTCTATCACTCTCTTTCTCTCACTCTCTTTCTCTTCCTCCTCTCTTCCTCCCTCTCTCTTTCTCCCTCTCTCTCCCACCCTCCCTTTCCCTTCCTCCTTCACTCTTCCTCTTCCTTTCTTTCTCTTCCTCCCTCGCTCTTTCTCTCTCTCAGCATCAAATATTGCACACGTAAGAAAATTTCACCTTGGCAGATAATTGTTGCAAGTCATTCTCCAACGTTTCATATGAGGCTGATTTCGGTGACTGCTCTGCCTCGACCATTCTGCTGAGTCGTGGGAAAAAATATATGTTAGAAATAATTAAAGAGGTGTTAATGAGGGATGCTAATGATTCTTATGCTAATGATGTTGAGCAATATGATTATAACTGTTGGGGTAATGGTATGGTAATGTTAATGATGATGGTGAGATTAATGATAATAGTAGTGATGTTACTGTTGTTAATGCAGGCAATTTAATGTCATGACCCATAATTAATACGATAATAACTAACAGTAATAAAATTAGTGACAGTAATGATAATATTTTCAAGAATGATAATAGTAAAATATTGGTAATCATGATAATGATATGACGACCATAACAACAATGGTTAATGACAGTGAAAGTCACGATTATATCATAATCATAATGGTAATATCATTAGTAACGCTATGGACAGTGATAGTACCAATGAATATAATGAAAAAAAAAGTACGTAGAAACAATGATGATAAAGATATAACAATAAACATAAAAATAGTGAGAGTGAAAATAATATCGATGAATCAGTAGTAATGCCAACTAAGATAAAGTGATAATAACAGTAAAAATAACAGATAATGACACAAGTTAAGATTACAATATTGTCGCTAATCAAGATGATTATAATAAGAGTACCGATAACAATGCGATAACTGCCCTCATTAGAATAATTATGGTAATGATAACTAGAGTGATAACAAGAATGCTAATTATAATGATGCGGTGATAAAAGGAACTATAATGATGATGATAATGATAATGATAACAATCAGAATAAGAACATCATTAGAATATCTTAGAAAATAGATAAATGAAAACGGCGGTAATGATAACAATAATAATGATAATGATAACACTGATAAGAATAATAACAGTAGCAATGATGACGATATTGTTGGTCGCGATGATGATATTAGCAAAGAAATGAATTGATACATAAACAGGCAAATTAATAAATCATCTCAGGTGTCCACTAGCACGAAAAATGAGTCAGTACTTAAAAACAACTTTTTGGTTCAGCCTGAGAAAACTTCACCAAGTCCTGAAATAAATCGGATACATCTATATGATTTAAAAGTAGCACTAGCAGAAGATGAGATGTGTTTTGACAACCGCAACTTACTTTTGATATTGCTGTGGGTTATGATCGTGATGTAAATTTAGCCATGAGAATTCTAGACTGCTGAGGCGTCATGCGTTACCATGGCAACCGAGGAGCGTCCGCTTACACCTTTCAATATGCTACAAAGGCCATTCCTTTAATATTTGTCTATGAGAGTGATGTAATTGATTAAAAATATATATACATATTTTTCTATGAGCATATGTAAAAATAACAGTTTATTTATACAAGAATTCAGAAGTTTATCTATTTCTTTTATCCGTTGGTATTATCAGTATTATAAATATTCAGTTTCAAATCACAATGAAACAGTAATGAATCCTTTTAGTCTCTTTATTACAATACATATACCAATAGTAATGATAATCGATAAATATAAACAGAAACTTAAAAATAAAACTTAAGTGTTTACTTGGAAAAGTTCCCGGTATGTTAATAATGTTTTAGCTTTTATTTCATTATCATCATTGTTGTTGTCCTTGTCTAAACCCAACAGCGAGAAGACCAACAAAATTAGATTAAAAAGCAAATATCTCGCATTACAGCAAAAAGTACACTTAATAAGTTAACGAAATATCAAATAACATCCAGTTATGAACACCAAAGAGAGGGAAACCGCGCGTAACGCTATAGTACGATAATTTCGGTAAATTGGCGTGTTATCCGACTCGATTTCGTTAAAAGGTTTTAGATTTTAGGGATTATGTGTATTTTGAAAGGTTTTTGTTCCCAGGAAATAATTATTTGATAATGTATTAGAATATATGAGTTATTTTATTGACGACTTGGTAACCGCTGGACCCAGGATGAGTGACCAAAAAAGGACATCTCGGGCCGGTACATTAAATTTATTGCGGGTTCGTATATCTGAAAACACGAAAAAAAGTAGTTATGGTTTGAAGTGTCGGTGTCTAATTGTTGTTCTTGTTTTTTTTTTCGGTGTATTTGTTAATATGAAGGTTTTTTAAAGACGACTTGGCAACCGAACCCGGGGTGACGGCGTACCTTGAATCCGACACTTTTTCTGACTTCACCGCGACTTTGTGAAGGATTTGTCACAATCACCTTTGTCTTTATTATCCGTGTGACTCGTCGCTCATACGGAATTTATTCGGTTTTCCTATGTTTTCTAAGCTTCTGAAGTTTTGAATTCAAAATGAAAATTATGATTCTTCGCATGACATTATTGTGTTGCACCACATTGTGTTTTGTATTTTATTATTGCAATTAGTATCCTTCCAAGACATGAATAGCAAGAACATATTTTATGATTCCATATAAAGTATTTATCTAAACTCTCCTTTTTCGTCTCTGAAATAAGAATCTACAATTTTCTCTTATAACATGGCTTTGTCCTATAAACCTTTGTTTTACATTTCGCCTTCGTGATTCTTTACCCCGGCCTTTCAATACTACTAAAATCCCAAAAGTCCACACCGAATATAACAGATTAAAACAAAACGAAAGGAATTTAAAACCAAAATCGCAAAACCTTCTCAAAAAAAAAGAAAAAAAAACCCTGAAAGTCTCTCAAAGTCGCATCGAAGTCGAGTCATC